ACAAAATATACGTCAGCATACATAGATAACGTTAATAACACCGATATTCCACACCAAAACAACACAGCTGCTTGATTACAAGGGCACACGATTTATTAAAGAAAAATGCACCTAGAGACCCATGATATTAGAATCAAGACTCATTAGAGTAACCAACGATTTCATCTAGAAAAAGAGTTATTTAATATAGCTGAGTTTCTTGCATGAAAAATTTTTGAACGGTGCCCACATAACAAATCACAATAAGGATGGAGTGTGAGCCCATGGCAGGGAAGTCTCAAAACTTCCTGGCCAGTGTGCTAACCATGGTCCAGTTGGCCCGTATAGAATTCATCCGAATAGGTATATTTCTGTACATCACAAGGGGAGTTAGCATGGGCTTATGGAGTATAAAAATATACCTTGTTGGACGAATCTTGTCTGGACGTTTTAGCACCACCAGTTCTGTGCTTGTTTTCAATGGTGTTATTGCAATTTCATGAGTCACTTTCCGGGATTTGTTCTGACACCTGACGTGTAATATTATTAATATTATATAATAAATGCTTCCTTTAAATATTGACTCTCCAGGTTTCAAATACGAATTATCATTCTAAATTTGATAATTCTTCCCTTCAGGCCACAAAAAAAGACCACCATCCCTACAAAAATCAAACTGTGACGTCTTAGTACGTCTTGCTGCAGCTGCTGCGCTCCACGCACTCCTTCACACACACGTACCTCACTTACCTCTCCTGGCCACTCTAACTCACCAGGAATAATACTCGTCTGGTTTCAGAACAAATCCCGGAAAGTGACATTATATATGAAGGTTTTTTTAATATACAATATTCACCAATACACTTCGTGATACACTACATAACAGCCATGTACGTGTCCAACATGATTTTAAGCTACCCATGGTTAGAGCCTCAACACACCTAACCTCACTCTTCATCACAATTTTCTCCATATACATAATGTTATCAGTAGTAGTCAATGAGTTTTTATGGCTACTCTCAAAGCTGCCGTTTTTTCTGAATGAGTAATTTTTGCCAGCCTGACCACCCTGAATAACCCACAAACGGAAGAGGTGTCCAATCACTATGGCTATTTTGTCTCTCAGTCTTTCCTCATTTATATTATTATAATCAAAACTAAGCACTAAACACCCAAGGGTCATATCAGGGCTGCTCAGAGTTATTTTGGAGGCTGGAGACAGTATTTCTGTTCCGTCTCTTGGCTGGGTCAGGCGAATGGATTTCCTTGCTACTATTTCCATGTATTATTAATTTTATTAATTCCTACTTATTTTGTTTATGTTATCTCTTTTTTATCTTCTTACCCTTCCCTTTATCACTCTGGTAGGCAAGCCACAGATGTTACAATGATAAAGAGTTTGCTCTCAGCAAGTTGGCAGCCATACAGCCATATGGCTGAGACGGGCACCCTGGGGTAGTCAGACTCTCCCTGCCAACGGAACAAAATAAACTGACGGTGTCGTGGAAGATAATTTATTCATTAAAAAACAGAAATGGCCTTAATATTAGTTTGATGCTTCTAGCAACTGCCTCGAGATACAAAGGTATGAAAAACCACTTCACAGCTGCCTAGCATGGGCCAGTAGGCCTGCTGAAATGTTCCTTCTTTCTCATGTTCTTATATTTTCTCTCTCCATCCGCCCATGACACGACCACAGCCCACGACCCACCCACCACCCACGACCGACCCACCCACCACCCACACCCTACTTGCGTGCTTATCTGTCCAGTTCCCCGAGGCGTCACACATTCCCGAGGAGTGCTTCCCACGACCCCTCTGCATTTTCCGAAATTTGTGATCCAAGAGGACCGCTCCTTGGAAGTGGTTTTCCATTTATCTACATACATTTACCTCTTTTTCTCCTCCTCAATTCTCTATCTCTGTCCCCATTTCTTCCTCGTCCTCCCCTGTGTAAATACTTTTTCCTTCATTATTTGCGTAATTCTTTAATTTACCCATTTTCTTAATGCCTCATACTCAAAATCTTAATTATCTACCATATTTATGAGGATCTTTAATTCATGGAATTATAATTAGGAAAATGCTTTGAATTTCAACCTTTCATACGTCTAGTTTTACCTCCGATACCTTTATTCCATATATATTATTATCTAACACAGCAATAAAAACCTCTCCTACTAAATAAAGGTCCATAAAAAAAGGATCTTTGCTGAGGACGGTAACAGAATTTCGTAAAAATGTGTTACATATCATAGTTTTGGCCGGACTATCCTGGTTCACTTATCATGCCGAAGAGTGTTACAGACAGGAAAGTTCCCCCTCCAGAACAAACATGGGAGAGATATTGAAAGGTGGGTTGCAGATACCTAAGAGTTTTGCGAGAAGGTGCGCACCCCGACACAGGTGGGAGAAAACGTAATAATTATGTTTTATCTTATACTATGTCGTAATATAAAGAGAGAGAGAAAAAAAAGATGTGAGGTCAAGCCTACATGAAGCTCTATGTAGAGTCATCTTGCCTTGGTATAAATACAAAGGTATGCTACCTTGAAAGTGTCCTCCATCTAAAGCAAGCAACCTTGGGACATTTTCTTGAAACATATGACCTTCAAACGCATAATACCTTGTATTAACGTTAGTAGAATTACCGACAATGTTATGTAAGAGGACACAAATGCAACTAACGTGACATTTTATTGTGGCAACGTTTCGCTCTCCAGGATCTCAGGCCGTTGTCACCGGCTTGACGAAGCTCTTGGAAAGAGAAACGTTACCACAGTAGAATGTCACATTAGTTACACTTGTGTCCTTTTACATAACGCATAATATCTTGTTAAAGAAATATTTATTACCTTTCCTTGATCACTCTCTTACCTTGGAACACAAACTACCTTGAAAAACAACATATTTTAAAATACCTCATGAAAATACACTCACCTTGAATAACCTTACAATATAAATAGTTTGATTTGAATAAAACATATAACATGATACATTATTTTTTGAGAATGCAATCATGGCCAACAAAAGCCATGATTTAATAACACTTGCAATCAAGTTACAAGATTTAATACCTTAAATGCATAATCTTCCTACACATTAATTTTCAGTGAAATATTCTTGAAACTCTTACGTTTCCTTGAAACAATCTCTTCGATTGAAACATATCTTTCAAGGAAGGTCTTCCGAAAATTTGATACAATTTCATGATACATAGGCAAGATTTTGAAAACCTTTACCATTACAATCTATTAAAGATTCCTACCTTTGCTAAAAAAAAAATGTGGATTACCTTGGAAAACATTACTACAGCGCAGCACTACACATTATCTTCGTTAATATCATTATGTAACATAATCTTAGCATGGACTGCCTTAAAACACCTTTCCTTTGCTTACATTATTAAGGTACACTAGTGGTACTATCAAGCTCCGCTCACCTGTGAGACCTACTTCACCTTTCCTGTCTTTGGTACCAAAGTCTCCATGATAAGATTTATCAATACTGCTAGACGGAATACCTCGTTTTTAGACTAAGGGATTGATTACCTCAAACTACTGCTTCACGTCTTCCTTCGTCTGCAGGATAATTCTTTGGCTTTACCTGATGAAGCTACTGGTTGGCTAAACCTCTCCACCACAAAGATACCCAAGTGTTGCACATGTGACTTACTGGTGTTTAAGTGAGTTCTTGAGTTTCAATCTGTGATGTAGTTGTCTACGTCATTCACTTACACCAGACAGGTCATGACCTGACTTACACCTATACTTCACAGCATGTTGGATATTACAAAATGTTATATTACACACAGAGGTTGCAGAGGGCACACAGAATATATACACATGAGGGCAAAATACACTCACACACACGCAAAAGCAACAACACAGCCAGTAATACCACTAGAAAAGACAAACACTTTTTTCTGAATATGCATGAACCAAAACTCTAATACAATCTTAAAGAATTTTGGAACAATAGCTGAAAAAAACGCTTTTTCGAGACCACTGGGTAGTTTTTAATATCATTCTTACATGAGGATTAATTATGTATGCCTGTGGATAAGTGGCTTTCTGACGGCAATGGTGAAGACGAGAGACACGTAGCATAACATTCATTGGCACATCGTTTTGCTCTGTGTCAGTTTCTCCCTTGATAAAGTTCTACACAGAGCGAAACATTGCACTAATAAATGCTTGTTTAACACTGCGTATCTTTTCCTCAGATAATAAAGTTCACTAAAGATCAAATTATCGTTATAAAAGCTGGAATATACTACTCTTCGAGAGCAATATTTTGATGCCTATTAATGTTCCCCGATCATCTAATAACATGTTCATTTATACCACTATAATCTACTACCTTGTCCATAATTACTATCGCATTTGCTTTGTTTCGTGAGGTGAAGTCCAGGATCTTTCCTTAATTCATGGTATAACTTAACAAATCTGAGGACAATTGTGTTGCAGAGGTGTGAGCAAAGCTCACACCTGTGGAACACAACTGTCCTCACAGATTTAAGTTATACCACGTTATTAGAAGACGTGGAAACTCACGAGCCCCTTACAAAACCCTGAATCTGAGTAACCCTCAGCCTATTATCTCCCATTAACTCAAGACACTGATCCCAACGAACTTAGCTCCTCTCAGTGATAAGAATAAACATGTAATGGGAAATATTTACATCAGTTTTATTAGTGTGTCGGCTAGGTAACATGTAATTATTTCCATTCGAGTGTGAGGATGCAACAAGGAGCAACAGCACAGCCAATAACAATTAAAACTGTTACACAGAGATTGGAGGGACGAGACGAGAGCACTTGGGGAGTACTAAATGTATTGAAAGCTGCATATGGGGTCAGGGAGAGTTGGGATGGTGGGGAATCATTTCCTGACCTACAGAGGACATGACAAGGGTGGAATTGGCAAGATTTTGGGGGCAAGCCAGGGAACGGTTTCGGATTTACTATGGATATGGTAAGGGAGAGTTTGGGTACGTGCATCAGGATAGTATTTCAGACCTGTTGACGACCTGGTGAAGAGGGGCTCGTAGCTGCGTGCTCTGGCCAGCCTGCCTGCCGCTGCCCCGGGTCCTGCAAGGTGGACAGAGGTGGTAGATGGTCAGTGCAACAGCTGTATCTGCCACAACTGTATCTGAAGCAGCTGTACTTGTACCACGACCAGCTGTGCTTGTACCACAACCATGCACTTGTATCACAACCAGTTGTACCTGTATTACAACCAGTTGTACATGTACCACAATCAGCTGCACTTGTACACCAACCGTCTGTATTTGTACCACATCCATCTTGTATCTGTACCACAACCAGCTGTTCTTATACCACAACCAGCTGTACTTATACCACAACCAGCTATACTTGTACCACAACCAGCTGTATTTCTATCAAAACCAGCTGCACCTGTACCTCAACCACATGTACTTGTGCTTATATCATCTGTGCTTACATCTAGGCTGTACCTGCATCTCAACCAGCTGTGTTTGCACATGAACTAGCTACACTTGTACATTATCCAATTGTACAGGTACCACTACAAGAAGCATTTGTACCTGATGCAACTGACCTGTGTTAAACTCCCATTATCTTTGTGTGTCAGCTGTATGAGTAGGTGTGACCTAGGTGTATCAGTTTGAGTGTTCCTAGGTGTATCAACTAGACTGCCTCTGTTGTATCAGCTAGAATACCCTATTCATACAATACTTTCATTAGTGGTGCCCACAACACCTGTTATGGCACTTACTGTATGCAACTAACAGCGCCAGCACCTGCCAAACTAACGCTAATTGTACTCATATTGTACCTGCTGAGCCAACACTAATGGTACTCACATAGTACCTGCTGACTCCACCAGTTCTTCCCACCATCGTCAATATCAGCTTATATATGCACTCCATTTCAAAATATAAGTCTTTAATCCTTCCATAGTTTACCCGACGGTCGTCGGAAACTCGATCCACCGTGTGTAAGCACAATGAAACGATAGAAATTCCAGTCTTTTTTTTTCTAAATCTTTTGTCTTTCTTCGTATCTTACATACACACACCGGGCCCGGAGCTATGAATCGACCCCTGCAACCACAATTAGGTGAGTACACACACACAGTAGATGAATCAATACTCTTGTTTCAGTAACAATGGCGACCCGATTGTAACCTAAAATAATCTCATTGATATCAAACAAGAAAGTTAAAGCTAGAATGCATTTGACACTTGCAATTCAGAGTAGACTGACATAACAAGCGAAAGCGCTTCCTAATGAACAATAAAAAAAGAGTGAAGATAAACAAATAATAAGGAGAGGTGGATGAAAGCAGAGGTGTCCCTCAAGATGCTGTCTTGGTACCCATAATTTTTGCGTGATGGGCTTTCGAATCATAGAATTTGAACTGCCTCTGTTCCAGTTTATCAGACCTGATTACCTCCCATAAATCGGGCACTGTATAACAACCATGGGTTTAGCGCTTCCTCAGACTATTGTCATAATCCTGGTGAATGTATACGACCTTCTAGAGGAGACTGTTACAGAGTGATGTGCCATGACGACGCAGGGAAATACAAATGCATAGAAATCGCACAAACTACAAGACGACCTAAACAAGCTGAAAAAATAATGAAACTACTATAATGTGGCTGCATTATACGAGACAAAGGCAACAGTGTGTGAGAAAGGTGAGTAAGAGAGAAAAGATGAGAAACGGAATACCACATGAGAGAGTATCAATTTATAGTTATATAATGCAAGATCCTGGAAGAAACATCATCCCCAATCTTAGTACCGTACAGAGAGTAGTGTCAGCGGTGTGTCAGCGGTGTGTCAGCGGCGTGTCAGCGGTGTGTCAGCGGCGTGTCAGCGGTGTGTCAGCGGTGTGTCAGCGGTGTGTCAGCGGTGTGTCAGCGGCTGTGTGCACACACAGACAGGTCAAAACATTCCTAAGAAACTTCCAGCTTTTTTAAAGGTACTGTTTATAATTCAAAGCAAGTTTACAAGTTGGAAAGGAAATCTTAGAGGGTGTTATGGTTCGTCTTTGACCATTATTAAGCAGCTAGTGAGAAAAAATAGCAAGGAAGTTAGAATTAATGTTAAGGAAAGAGTTGGGAAAAGCGAATGTAAAGAAAGTGAAAACTTCTCTTAAAACTGGCATTCAATTACGTTTTATTAAGTACTTAACCTTTGTGAGTCGTTTACCACAAGCCCTGGTGGAGGCTCGATCCTCCTTCGACTAACTGCAGCCTTGTCTCTGACCTGCACAATATAAAAAAAACGTTCCCAACAGACTGTTAGCAGGACAGAATCCACTAAACAAGGCTACATGAATTATCAGCACGATGAATAGGGAGAGATATGGTCATGATATACAAATACTCCAGCGTATAATGGGTGGACAGGAGCAAGCGGTGTATCATAAGAAGGACCTATCAGAGGGGACACATTGAACCATACAGAGAACTTGTACGAGGGGACACGTCTAGGAGACGACACTCCTGGAAACTGAAAACCCAACTGACTTTCAGAAACATAACAAAAGCATATTTATATAATTAACAATAATAAATAAGTTGACTGGACTGGGAAACGTTAATCAGATATTAAATTGGTTATTAGTTGCAATAGAAAGCATGTCAGTCAGGAGGAGGGAAAGAGGTCGAAGAGTTGGACCTCAAGATTCATAAGGTCAACTAGGTAGCGACCAGGAAGAGCCGGGGCCAGGAGATGTGATTCGACCCCAGCACCCACAAATGGGTGAGTACAAAGAGCCAACACAGACGACGACCAGGTCGCTCACACCGGACAACGCTCCCTAGTTTTCCCTAATGGGCGAAGCTTCGTATCAGCCCACCCCAGCTAAGTCATAAATCCTCCAGCTTTACACCCCGGAAATGGGACATGATCAACACACACACACACGCACACACACACACACACACACACACACACACACACACACACGCAGATCCATACACACATACAACACACAACAACAACACTGAGGACAGAGCAGGGAGTGACCTTTCGCGGAAGACAAAGGGACAAGGACAGGAGTTAAAACCAAACAAACCAATTAATTAGCTAATGACAGAGAGTATAAAGTACTACACAAGAGTACACAGTCGACATAGCCTAACAATGACGTATGAGCAGAACCACACACAGTCTCTCTGATAGCTCACAAGAACACACCAAGACAACAACCCAACCACAAAAGGATACAAATAACACACACACACAGCACCAACATGGAACCTCAATTATAAAGAATGTCAAGAAACTGGAGAAAGCGAAAAGGTTTGCAACGGTGAGAAGTAATGTACCACGAGTATGACCTTCTGTACACGTAATAAAAGGCGCTGAACTTGAAACATACAGTCCACAGAACAACAGGAAAACAGGGTAAAATATATGAAAAACTATAACACGGAGGCGGAACTCTGGTCTGTCTTTAACCTCTAAACCTTGAATAACATTTGTTATACCCAGTTCTACCACATATCCGAATCTTACAACACACTCAATATCACTTCCTTCCAACGTTATCGCAAACAATCACCATAACACACAATCTCCACAACCCACACACATGAACACACCAACGATTACCTATTTAAGCATGCTTCACAAACTGATGGAATACCTAATTTGTCCTACTGACAAGTTATCTAGCGTCATTAAAAGCGAGGTTGCACTGTGTACACTAATTGTCAGACACCATTGGATACAGGGTAAATTAAATCCCTTGAACCGTCTGACTGATCGTACTGGTCCTTCTCTCTCAATTCTGACTTTGCATACCTTTTTGAACATTTTGTGTGTTGTGCGTGGTAGTTGAAAGAGCTGTTGTTTCGTTGTGTTTGTCGTTGTGGATGAAGATGGTTATTGCTCTGTGGTAGTCTAGCACCATTTGTAGGCACCATCGTAGAACCAGTCCTGGTATCGCTGCCTTTACTGATGGTGATGTTACCATTTATGGCTTCAGGCATTACTCGTCCTAACTGTGTGTGTGTTGGCTGTGTGTGTGTGTTTTGGTACTCCCTAATTGTGTTGCAGCGTATGAGGTTCAGCTGGCCCGCCTCCATGCTCCTGGCCTCGGTCCTTCACTGTGCTCCCTAGGCTTCATCCCTAACTTGAGATTATTGCTCGTGCTGTAAGCTTGGTGGTTCATTCCACTAATCGCTTCTTAACTTTAGCTTCGATTATTGTGCTAAGATGTTGTGCAGTCCCTGTGGTTGTCTACTATTGAGGTGGTTGTCGTGTGGTGTGGTGGTGCTGGTGTGGTGTGTGTGTGTGTGTTGTGTGGGTAATTATCCCTACAGACATAATTATGGCTGTGACGTCTCGTCTTCAATACTATTTTCATCATATATATTTTATTTTAAATTTCCTATAGTTGCAGCACTTGCTAATTCCTCATTTAATGCATTTCACTGGCCAGTCACTATTTCAGAAGAAAAATATTTTGAGTATCCTTTCCACTCCATTTTTTTCTTCACTCTGGAACTACGGCCTCTTGTTATCCCTGTTCCTGGTACTTAGTTATCCTCATCTGTTCTCTGAAGTCCTCTAAAGACGTTCAATGTGGTCATAATGTCTCATCTTTTTCCTCTCATCAGCAACAAGAGCAGCTGTAATGTCTCTAATATCTAATCAAGTTCATTTTACAGAGGGAAATGGTTATAAATATGACCATAACTTTTAAATGGGTGGACTGGTAAGCCAGCTGAAGGCCTCGGTCACATGACGAAAAGCTCCAACAGCGGGTCGTCATCTAAGACCGGCGTCAGGAGACACTTGTCCTGTTCCCTGACGAACCTCACCTAAGTTTATCATGCTCAACTCTGGCAGCTACTTTATAGCTCTTTCGGATATTTTCTAAACGGTGTTTTTTCCAGGTGTGGACACACACTACCGCTGGGTATTCCATTTTTGACCTAATGTCAAACAAAACAACTTTCTTAATATTTTACCATCTATTTGAAAAATATTTTTTAGTTTGTCTGAGTAGCAAGTGAGTTTCTCCAAATTTCATTCACATGACTTTCCAATGATTGTTCTTTGTTAGTAATAACTTCTAGATACCT